AATATATCCGATATTTGAATATTTCGATATTTCTCAATACTAAGAATAGCCATTTTAGTTTTTGCCATTTTGGTATTTGAATTTTAAAAAATTAAAAGAAGAAGAATCAAGAACTATTTTCAAAATGAAAAAATAAATTCAAATAAATTCAAATTCTTTTTTTTAATGAAATTGAATAGATCATCAAACAATGTGATCGATTTTTTTGGGGGGCAAATATTATGCATTTCACAAATCAATATATAAACAAGACATTAAAATTATGAATTTTTCAATTTTATTTTTTTGATTAAAATCTATGATGATTTTTTTTTTGATTGTTTTTCATGGAGCAATGAATTCTAAATTATATTCAAAAAAAAAAAAAAAAAAAATGAGAAAAATAAACATTTATCAAACCAAAAATAAAATTTTTCATTCATTCATCATGAGAATCATTATTCATTATTAATAAATCGATGATGAAATACAAATTTTTTTATAAAACAATAATATTAATGGCAGATTCATCATTAATATTTCAATATATTTAAATTTTGTCATGAAAAATAATTGACCACATGTAAAACCAAATTGATTATTGGTCATTGTCTGCATGAATAGATTGGATTTAATTGATTGTCGCCATTGTGGTCTATAGATCATAAATCTGGTCTGTCTTGCCAACCAATAGGATATTGTTCGTGAACATTGTTGATTACAAGATGGTAAATCGGTTATACGTGCATATAAACAAGTTGTATAACAAAATGATGACATTAAACCGATTAATGCTGTGGAATTATAAACACTCATATGTATCTGTTTACTATAGAATATAGTTGACATCAGAATGGATAATTTGGATATGGTTTCCATATAGAACAATACAATGCTAAATGTACGATTAAAACCAATGGTTTCACTATAAAGTTGTACATATTTTCGTTGAAAATTTGACCAAAATAATTGTTTTGCCAGATAATATGAACGTTTTGTTGGTCTGTAATCCATCAACATAAATTGTGATATACGTAACAAATGTTTTAATTGTGATTTAAAAAATTCAATCAAAAATAATTGAAAATTAATGGATAATAACAAATGTCCTAATAGATAGGAAACATGATTACAGGTAATAGCAAACATTGGTATATCGGTTATCATTTGTATGAATGTAATACGATCATTGAAATAATATTCAATACAGAAATATGTATGCATCATTGTCATGATGAATAAACCAAACATTGATATATCATAAACAACAATGGAACCATATTCACTGAACGTATAAAATTGTATCAAATATCGTCTCATTTTCATTGTCAATTGTTTATCATCATCAAAATTTTCATATTCAATGAAAAAATCATTTTCCGATGATTTATAATTAAGTATTGAACGTAATAAACGTAGCCACATTGTTTCCACCAGAATCATCATGATGATCATTTCAAATAACAATAGATCAACTCCATTTGAATGTACCATTTGTTCAAGAATTTTGATACTAATTAAATAATCATTATTATTGAATAATAATAATAAAATTGGATAACAGATGACCATAAATATGAATATTGATTTTCGTATAATACGTTTGAATACATCAGATGACAATCGTATATTATGTTTACCATAATCATATCGATTATAATCAATACGAAATGTAAAATATTTTAGATATTGAAAACCACTTTCAAATATATCCACTATATGAATATCACGTTGATATTTATTCTTTATTGGTCTTACAATGTAAAAAAATATTCGCCAATCTCGTTCTGGTCTAGACATTATTATTATTATTTATTATCAATATCAATATCGTTGATGATTGAACAGGTCGAGCACTGAAAATCAAATGATAACAATTGATTGAAATATGTTGAATGCAGCCAGTCGTTATCAATATGATGATCATTTCTCGATTCATTGTTTGAATTCAAAAGAATCGAGATCGATCAATAAAATTCATGATATGAAATTAATGATACCAAAAAAAAAGAAAAAATTATCTGACAATGATGATGATGAATTATGGAGATGACATTTTTTTTCTTCTATTTTTATTTCTCATGTACCGGAAAAATTGATACCATATGAAAAAATTATTCAAGCAAAAACATAAATCATCTTCATTCCAGTTTGTGCATACATTTTATAAATGAAACAATCAAAAATTGGATCAAACAGCAGAAAATATGTTTATCAGTTATACCAACAATTGTTATTATATTTTAGATATTGAAAACCACTTTCAAATATATCCACTATATGAATATCACGTTGATATTTATTCTTTATTGGTCTTACAATGTAAAAAAATATTCGCCAATCTCGTTCTGGTCTAGACATTATTATTATTATTTATTATCAAAATTCAAAATTTTTTTGAAAAAAATTCAAATTCAAGAATTTTTTTTTTGAATTCGAGCAGTTGCGCCATTTTAAACCAGAAAATTGTGTTATGAAACCATTTTTAAAAGAAATAAAATCTGTTTGTTTTTCCAGAAAATAAAATGTGGTAGTTAATAATCAAAAATTTTTTCCAGTTTCAGTGTTCATTTTTCGGACATTTTTTTCCCAGTGAATTATGTTCAGTTATGAATCTTATGAAATCGATTTTTAATTTTTTTTTTAAATTTCCATTAAACGAAAAATGAAAGAAAATTTTCATGAAAAATCAATTTGAAAATTATCGATAAAAATTTCAACAACAACAACAACAACAACAACCATGGTTTTCGGGACACGAATAAATAAATTTAAAAAATGTCATATGAATGATAATGAAAATGATGATTTCATTTGACGAAAAACACACGTAGAAACATTTTGAATCGATTGTAATCGATCTAAAACAAACAACTCATAGGCATGCTCTCTGTGTGTGTGTGTTTTTTTAATGAAAAAAAACAGAGACAACCCCTACAACCTATTTAACCTCTAAATTGGTCGATAATAAAATCCTTTGAAAATTCTTGAAAAATTCAAATTGATTCACAGAGTAAAGGCCGGTAACTTTGAATGAAAAAAAAACAAATTGCAGTTTAGTTTTCAATAATAAACAAAGAGATGTCAAAATCAAAGTATGTGTGTGTCTCATTTGTCCCAAAAAATTGATAAAATATTTTTGTACGAAAAAAAAATTTGATAAATAAAACAATAACAATATTGAATGGTAAAAAAAAATGATGATGACTAAAATCAAAATGTCTGTGAGTGTGAAAATTTTCGTTTGATTTGATGTTGTTGTTGTTGTTGTTGTCGTTGGTTGTAGCCATAACAACAATAGTTATTACAAGTTGATATTAATTAAATTGTATCTAAATTTGAATGATACAACAGGTTGCCACTTTGATCCATCCAGAGTATGTTGATCCAGAATCGAAAAAAAAGAATTGAAAGTTCATTGATTACGTAACCACAAATTCAATTCATTCCTATTTCATCATGTTACAAATTACAAAAAACATTGATATATCATAAACAACAATGGAACCATATTCACTTATCGTATAAAGTTGTATCAAATATTTTTATTTAATTGGCATGCTCCCTGTGTATATGTAACCTATAAATTGGTCGATAATAAAATTCTTTGAAAATTTTTTAAATTCTTGAAAAATTCATATTGATTATGAGAGTAAAAGCCGATGATTTTGAAAGAAAAAACAAACAGTTGTAGTGTATCCATAATAAACAAGGGAGATTCTGTTGTTTTTACATTTCAATAGTAATCATTATGTGTCAAAAAAAAACAGAATTTCGCTTACAGTGTGAAGCGAGAGAGTGAATGAATATATATCTTATATATTGCTCTTTTTCTACATTTCCATGAAGAATGAAACAAAATGATTTGTTTTTTTTTCGAGTAAAAGCAACATTTGACAACATTAATTGTTTGAAATGAAACTTTGATCGCTTGTTGTGGTAACAAGAGAAAAAAAAGAACTGTAAACATTAAACATTTTTTGTTTCATTTGTTTTATTGATTGGATGGTAATAAAGTTTTCTATAACAAGTGGGGAAAAAATTTTTTTTTTGATAATAATTGATAAATGGGATGGATACAAAGATAAACAGGTAAACATCCGGAACTAATTTGAATTGGAATTTTTTTTTTTTTGTATAACAAATAATTTATTCAAGTGTCGTTTTTTTTGTTTGTGTGTGTGTATTCGGTGTGACTAGTTGTAATGATATTTTTTTTTGTATGTGTGTTACGATAATTTGAATAAGCATCATCATCATCATCATCATCATTTACCAGATAGAATTTTTTGGTCTGTTTTTCGTTTTGGTTTTCAATGTCAATTCAAATCACTCATATTCATTGTAGCCTTTTTTGTATGAATGCAATTCTGTGTGTGTGTTTTACATGTAATGAAAATTTTTTAATTTGATATAATTGAGAAGAGACAGGATGCAACAACCAATTCACTAGAAAAAAAACGCATCATCTTCGTTTTGTTTTTTTTTTTAATTTTCACAACAAAATTCTTGGTGACCTTGCTTGTGTGTGTGTGTGTGTGACTCATCCAAGTGATGATCATTCAATGAGAGATAATCAAATGAATTTTTCCTTCGATAATAGCAACAAATGTGTGTGTGTGTGTGTATGTCATTGAAATAGAAAAAAAATGTGAGTCAAAAAAAAAATGAGCTTCAATTTGTATATATTGCAACTTAAAATTGAAACATTGCACAGCAACAACATTCTTTATGTATGACACTGGTGGTGATTTCATTTCATTTGGGAATGATTTTCTTTTCTCTCTTCACTTTATTATTATTATTATTATTATCATCATCATGTTACAAATTACAGGTAAAATCAAAGTATGTGTGTGTGTGTGTGTCTCATTTGTCTCAAAAAAATTGATAAAATATTTTTGTACGAAAAAAAAAATTTGATAAATAAAACAATAACAATATTGAATGGTAAAAAAAAATGATGATGACTAAAATCAAAATGTTTGTGAGTGTGAAAATTTTCGTTTAATTTGATGATGTTGTTGTTGTTGTTGTTGTCGTTGGTTGTAGCCATAACAATAATAGTTATAACAAGTAGATATTAATTAAATTGTAGTAGTTTGGTTTCTACTATAGTTGCATTATTATTATTATTATTGAAAATTTTCTCTATATTTAGTTGATTGAATAGATCTAAATTTGAATGATACAACAGGCTGCCATTTTGATCCATCCAGAGTATGTTGATCCAGAATCGAAAAAAAAGAATTGAACGTTCATTGATTACGTAACCACAAATTCAATTGATTCCTATGATTACGTTCATATGTTTTAACTTCATCATAGATTAATTCTTTACAAATAATGAAAAAGAATTACGTCATTTTTTTGATTTTTTACATCATTATAATACACTTACCTTTCCATTGATCAACTGAACGTTCCTGTTGTTCGAATGAATCATCATATACACGTGGTGCCGGTGCATTTACTTCAGATTCTTCACGCCATAAACGTATATATGGATGATTAAGTGCACCTTCAACCGAAATTCGATCTTGTGGATCAATCACTAACATTTTGGATAATAAATCTCGGGCCTGTGGAGCATTCAAATCAGATTGTGGCGATGGCCTATTAGCGAATAATACATCGGGAAACAATGTTTCAAATGTATAGCCCGTATAACGGGGACGATTTTCTACATAATTTCTCACTGTTGCCTGTAATCTTGATATGAATTCCTGATTAGGCGTGCCCAATTGTTCCACAATACGATTCCATTGATCAATGTGATCACTGCCTGGAAATAATACTCGGCCGCGTATCAATTCACCCATTATACAACCAACTGACCAGATATCAACATTTTCTTGATAGCCCATACCGAGTATCACTTCTGGTGCACGATAATATCTTGTTACCACATATGGTGTCATCATTTGTGGACCACTGGATGAACGAGCCAGACCAAAATCCAATATCTTCAATGTACAATCGGTTTTGACAACAATGTTTGATGGTTTTAAATCTCGATGTATAATGCCAGCCGAATGTAAATGTTTAATACCGCATAACAATTGATAAAGAAGATATGAAATCCTTTCATGATCGATATCCATCTGGATCACTTGACAAAGATTTGCATCCATTAATTCCATGACCAGATAGACATCCTGAAATTCTTCAAGGGTATTCTGCGGCGTAAATGCATCCAATAGGCCGATGATATTTTTATGATTAACAAGTTGCATAATTTTAAATTCACGATATGCACGTTTAGCATGTGTAACATTCTGGAATGGTTTGGATAATTTTTTAATGGCTACATCTCGATCCAAAAGACGATCATGAGCACTACTGTTGAATTTCAACAACAAAAGAAAAAAAGATATTGAGACAAACGGAAGTCTGAAAATGAAAACAAGACTTACCAAACAACACCTTGAGCACCGGAACCAACAATTCGAAGATTTTCATAACGTTTTATTATCTCAAAACGTGTATCATTAACATGAATCGTATGGAATTGTGTGGTCAATTCTTCGAATGTTGCCGGATCGGGTATCATTTTATCGTTTGTATTATTTCGATTAATGGCAGAATTATTCAATGATGTTGATGTTTGATGATTTTTAGTATTATTATTATTACTACTACAACTACCGCTATTTGTAGTAACTACAGTAGAAGCAATAGCAGCAGACGACGACAACGATGATGAGGGTGATGATGATGATGTATTGATCGTATTATTGGAAATCGATGGTGATGAAATTGATGGATGCTGTTTTTGTTGTTGTTTTAAATCTATGGCATCTGAAGCCATTCTGATGATTGAACATTAAGAATAGATGAAACAATAATTAATTGATTAACAACAACATTAATAACAAAAAAAATGGCAATAAAAAACGGACGGCTATGATGATAAAACATTTGGAATGTATCTGATTCTAAAAATTTTTGCTGATATATACTAAATATAAATAAAATTCTAATGATAATAAATGAAGAGATAATTGAAAAAGACTTTGGATTGAAGGTAAAATGAACACCACCACCACCAACACAACAATGCAATTATAACTAAAAAAAAATTATGATGATGATGAAATGATTTTGGATTTCAATATTATCTAGTCATAATCATCATTATACAGTTGACAAATTTATATATCGATAATCATGAAAAAAAATATCGGAATTTTTATTTAATGAGTATCAAAGAAAAAAAAATACATAAATAAATAAATAATATATATAAGAATCCAAGAATCTCAAAATAGACAATCTCGGCTCGAACATTGACAATTTATTGTAATATAAATGATGATGATGAATACCTACCACACTGACTAATAATAGTGCTACTATTTTTTTTGAATGTATATAAACTAGCTGTTAGCTTCTAGCTGCATGTAGTATTGTAAATGTATAGCGGTTGTTGTTGTTGTTGTTGTTTGCTTGCTGCTATCAACATGTATACATTGGTTATACTGGAAAGAAAGACTAACTTATTGACTGACTGTGTGTGTGTGTGTGTGTGTGTGTGTGTGTGTGTGTGAGTCATCAAAAGTCACACCCACGACACAATGATTTAAATTGCTAACGGAATTGCAATAAATTGTATCCGTGTGTGTATGTGTGTGTTGTGTATGTATATAGTTGTTCAAACTTTTATTATACAAGATTCTTGGATATATAAATTTTAATCTCCAATTCTTTGGAAATAATAATATTGATCCATATTGTATAATCTGATCATTTTTATTATTCATTATCGAGAAATATGGCCATTATAAATCCATAAAAAAATGATACCTAATATAAAAATGGATTTTTTTCCAAAAAAAAAAAAAATGAAAACTAATCATCATCATTGTTTGTGTAATTTACAACAATAGTAAACTATTTTCACTTATTAATTGATCATTAAAAATATTAATTAATTAATTAATTAATTTACACAAAATTGAATAGCAAATCAATCCTTACACGTTCCTTTTTCATGGTCATTTTGTGAATTTTTTAGAAAAGGAATTAGTGAATAGAAATGATATATATGAAATTGATTATTTTTATCCAGAATTTTTTTTTTTTTTGTCAACCATCAAAATATCTTGAATACGTCCAGTACATACGAAATCTGATATATACATTTTTTTATCATATGCATAGATCAATCAAACTTCAAACGGTTCGTATCGGCATTTTTTTTCTCTCTCTCTATTGGAAAAATTGATTTTGATGATGATAATGATGATGATGATGATGATTTTGTGCTCAAACTTGTCTCTTTTTTTTCTTTTCCATTTTATTATTTAAAGTCATCTATGAATAGACATTTTCAATGTCATTTAAAATTTGGTGAAATTTTCATAGTGTTGTGCATACAGCATTTAAGTGAAAAGTCAAGAAAACAAAAATGAGTCAACAAGAACAACAACGACCACGATATCGAATACTTTCGATTGTTATGAATGCTGTTGGTCATATAAATGCTTGTCAAGGACTTTGCGATAAACTTCGTGATCATGGTCATAATGTTGTGTTTTTAATTGACGAAGAATTTGCTGGCCGTTTAAAACCATTTGGTTTTGAAGAATGTCATTATCGTATGCCAAAACCAACTATAGAGAATGAATCTGGTGAAAAAATTGAATTCTGGCAATGGTTTTTATCTCATAATGCAAAACTATATAGTCTGTCACCAGTTGAACAGATGGAACAATTGAATCCGACAGTGTTTCGTACGATGTTTGATCAACAACGTAGTGTTGAAGATATTTATCGTAAATCGATTGAAGATATCCGGCCAGATTTGATTATTAGTGATTGTTATATAAGCTGTCCGGCCATTATAATGTCCGGTATACCATGGATATGGCTTTTTTCTGCTGCACCACAAGCAATGATTATGGATCCACGTTTACCACCATTTTATTCAGGTTTACCATCGAATGGTGATAAGAAACAATGGCAAGAATTTCAACAAAGAACAAATAAAGCTTACGCATCATTGTTTAATGATATTAATGAATATTCAATGGAAAAAGGAATGCAACCATTGAATAATCGTCTTCATCCATTATCACCATATTTGAATATTTATATGTGGCCACTTGAAATGCGATATCAAGAAATGAATGAATTACCTGAAAATATCTTTGGTGTCGACAATCTTATGCGGAAAACAGCACAACAACAATTTGATATTCCAGAATCGATTCGTAATAAACCGGGCAAATTGATTCTATTCTCAATGGGATCGTTTGGATGTTCAAATGTTGGCCTAATGAAACGATTGGTGGGCATTTTTAGTAAATCACCAAATCGATTTATTGTTTCAAAAGGACCAATGGCATATGATCTATCAGAAAATATGTGGGGCGATAAATTTCTACCACAAAAAGCCATATTACCATTGGTCGATTTGGTCATTACACATGGTGGTAATAATACGGTGACAGAATCATTTTATTTTGGCAAAAAAATGCTCATTTTACCAACATTTGATGATCAATTTGATAATGCACAACGTTTAGTTGAAGTTGGTCTTGGTGCACGATTAAATCCATTTGAATCAAGTGAAAAAGAATTTCTGGATACCATTCAACGATTATTGGATGATGAACAATTAACAGAACGAATGGCAAAAATTGGCGAACGTATACGTGGATCAGAAAATGATAAAGAAAAATTGGCCAAACGTGTTGAAGAAATTTGTGAGAAATATCAAAACCAAAAAAAAAAAATAAATCAAAAAAATAATTAAAACAAACAGAAAAATTTTTTTTTAAAGAAAAAAAATGACCTAGTAGCAGTAGTAGTTTTTTTTCAGTGTATGAAAGTAATAAATGAATGTGACAAATATATATTTCATTCAAATGATGTTGATGATAAATGGAAAATTAAAATTTTACAAATTTTAAATTTTAAATTTTGATTTTTTTTTATGTTTAAGCTCTGTCATTTGTTTGTTTTTTTTTTTTTTTTGATTGAGTTCAAATTAGTGTCGTTGTCAGTTTTTTTTTTTGGTCGTCAATGGTCGTTTAATAAAGATCATTGGTGGCAATGATGAATTGGAACTTTTTTTTTTTAGTTATTATTATTAGTATTAATAGATACATTGTTTATTGTTATTGAATGTTTTTTACGTTGATGCTGTAATAATGATGTTTTCCATACGGAAACAAAACGACATTGTGGACATTTATAACGTTTATCACCAGTATGTTTAAACATATGTCTACGTAAATCACGAAGAAAATGTGGTGTATATGAACAATCTGGCCATGGACAACGATAACGTCCAATACCGCTATATCTTGTTCGTTTATATTGTTGTTGTTGATCATTTGTTAATGTTGTTGTTGTTGATGATGATGATGATGAAGATGATGATGATGAGGGTGAAGATAATAATGATGATGATGATGATAATGATTCAGATTTGATTTCCATTTGATTTTTATTCATTGACGTAAGATGCACATCTGTTTTGACAGCTAATAATGCTTTTTTAAGATCACGATTCTTTGACATTCGTGGTGATATTAATTGATCAATTAACATTTTTCTATCATTCATATCTATAGACAATGTTAATGATGATGATGATGATGGAAATGAAGATAAGCCTAAATGTGATAATGATAAAAATTAATTAATGGATAATTTTTCAATGATGAAAATATTACCTGTTGATGATGAATTAAATGATTTTATTGACATATTTACGCCATCTATTGGTGAGGATATGAAATGGTTTGGATTTAAATTTTTATTACAATCTTTGGTTGTTGTTGTTGTTGCTGTTGTTGTTGTTGTTGTTGTTGTTGTTGTTGTTGTTGTTTGTTGCTGTTGCTGTTGGCTTACAATTAACAACATGTTCCAATAATTCACGACGATCCAATAATCGTAAGCTACAATGTTTACATTGATAATTTGATTTACGTATATGAAAACGACGATGATGATTAAGAATCTCTTCGGTTTGAAACCTACGTATACAACCGGGCCAATCACATTGAAATTTTTCAACATCAATTCTATTTATTGTTGTTGTTTTTCGATCTTTTAGATCAATGATTTCATTTTGATTAGTTTGATCACGATTAAAATGATTAAGATGATGATCAATATGATGATCAGCATCATCGATATCAATGATATTATCATATTCAATACAATCTTGATCATCGATATCTTCGCCATCATCATCATCATCATCGATTTCTTCTTCAACGACAACAACATCGACATCGACATCGACATCATCATCAGCATCATTAATATTATTGAGATCGGTTTTCTTTGTTTTATTTTTAATATCATTATTCGATAATGACATTTTTGTTGATACCAATGAAGAAGATTTAGATGTCGTCGATGATGATCCAATAATCATTGAAGATGACGACGACGACGACAATGATTCAGTTGGTGATAATGATGAAGGTGGTGGTGGTGGTGGTGGTAATGGTAATAATGTGGTTGGTTGTTGCAACAATTTTGACCAATTATATGTGGCAACCACATCTATTGATTCTTTTATAGCTTGATTCATCATTAATAAGCTATGATGATTCTGTTGATGATGATCAATAACATTATCATTTGAATTTGATTCATTTGATTTTGATAATGCTATTGTTAGTGATGATAATTGATTATTACTATTATGATGGTGATTATGATTATGACCAGATGATGGACCAGTTATTGGTATTGTTGTTGATGATAATTTGGTTGATGGAACAGCATCGTTAGCAGTTGATGATGATGATGTGGTCACGCGATCCGAATTGTTGGTGGTAGCGGCAGAGGAAGAAGCAGCAGCTGCTGATGCTGCTGCTGCTGCAGCCGCAGCAGCAGCAATAATTTGATCAACAGATCGTACAGAATTCAAACAGGATTCAATTGCTGTTGCTAGATAATTTTCATAACGTTTCAATAATGACTGAAAACGTATATCAGCTTGTTGTTGAATTAGATTCAATAAACATAGATTTGGATCTTGTATATTATTATTTTCAAATTGATTTTGAATAGATTTTCTTTCCTGATTATCCATACTACAGATTGCCGCTGCTATCGTTGATAATGGATGTGTATTTATTTCCGTTGTTGATGGCGTTGATGATAATGATGATGGAAATGATAATCGATTCTGATGATGATGATGATGATGATGATAATAATTCTGCTGCTGCTGATGCTGTTGCTGTTGTTGTTGTTGAATATAAACTGAATGAATATTCGACACTCGATTATGGTTATGGTTATAATTATGATGTTGATGTTGATGATGATATCGATGATAATCGTTTTGAATATTATTATTATTCTGATCTATACGTAATAGATTTTTATCTTTTAATTCAAATAGATTCATCATTTTGAATTTTTAATAATAATTAAAAAAAATAAATTTTTTTTCTTCTTCTTCTCAGGTATTTATAGTGCTTGAAGAATTCATTGAAAATTTCAGTTTGTGTGATGGTGAAGAAAAAAAATAAAAAAACAATAATTCAGATTTGCCACATTTGTAAACACTTTTTTTTTAATTCGGTTGTCATTTAATCAAAACCTGTTGGAAATGGAAAATTAAAAAAATGAATTTTAAATCAACAAAATTCAAAATCAATAGGAATTGGTTAAAATGAGAATAAAAAGTAAAAATTCTCAAACGACAAAAATTATTTTTTTTACCACTGATTTTTATACATGAAAAAAAACAGTCAGCAAAAAAAAAATTTATTACGAAAGATTCTGACGAGAATGGAACAATAATAATAATAATAACAAGAAAAATGAATCAAAATGTTTATCGCAATCAGATTGGGTGTGTAGTATTACAATATCAATGATGATAACAACAACAACAACAATAATCATCAGGTAATTTTTGGAGAGAAATTTTTTTTTTTTTTTTGTTAGTAAACAAAACCAAAAAAATCAATCCAACAATAATAAACAGAAAGCGAGAAGAAGAAGAAGAAGAAAAAAAAAATATGAAACAATTTAATGATCATCAACTGATGGAAAAGAAAAAAATTGCAACAAAATGAAAAAATTGATAAGTCACACATACACATACACACACACATATACAGTTTATCACTTGGTTTGTTTCTTTCAGAAAACAGAACAAACAAATACAAAAGAAAATTGTTAATTAATAATTGATCATCATTATCACACACACACACACACACACACACACACACACACACAGCATATCATCATAAATTGTAATTGTAACTCGTCTTTTTCTTACATTCAATTTGTTTGCGACATAAATTATGTTTTACATCATCATCGAAATCACAATCACAATGATGATCATCATCATTATTTTAGGGATACGGTCATTAAACTCTTTTATTATTTTATTTTTTTTTCCATTTTTTTTTTCATTCTCATACTCGTACACTTGCCCCACGCACTCAACATCTTTATTTTTTTTTTCAATTTTAAATTTTTGGATTGCTGCTGCTGATGTTGATTTTGAAATGATAAATTTTCTATTTTTTTTTCTTTGTCATTCTTATCGGTTAATTTTTTTTCCTGTATGTAATCGATTGATTGCAATTTTGTGATTTTTTTTTTAGAAAAAAAATAATGGAATTTGGGTGATTAATAAGAACTGAAGAATGGGAGTTTTTTTTCTCATCATCATCATCATCATTTCTCAATCCGTTCATATTCGGATTGCAACATATATATGAAGCCTTATAGGTTTGTGTTTAGTGAATAAAAACAACGGCAGGTAAATTATCGATTCTGGACTAATATAATCAAATGAATTATCGATTTAGCCTTGAAAATATGTGGGAATTTGTTTTTGGTTCTCCAATTTTTGAAAAATTTTTCTCTCATTTTTTGTTTTTTACTTTGATAAATGTACATATTATCACCTACAATATATATATATATCGGTATAATGGCCGATAAAGTGTTGAGGCGTAGAGAAAACAAAACAAAAAAAAATTGAAGACAATTGAAAATAACAACAACAACAACAATAACAACAGCAAATAATCATACAAATTTGACATTGAAAATTGTCATCGAACCACACACACATACACTTTGTATTGTACACCTTTTTTTTGAGAAAAAATAATTTTTTTGATTGATAAAATTGTCACCATTGTCAACAAGGTCAGCGTAACCATTGATGATGATGATGATGATAATCAGGTGATCAATGATGATAATTTAATCAGCAAAAAAAAAAAAAAAAAAAACAATAACAAAATCAATCAAATCAAAGGTCAATTTTTGATTTCCAACATATGAAAATCCGGCATATAAATTTTTGCCAAAGGCGAAAAAAAATGAAAGAAAGAGAAAAAGGAATTGGGATCATTATCATTTCTCAGAAATGATACTTATTATACAATTATCAGCAATAATGATGATGATGATGATGATGGTGGTGGTGGTGGTTAGTGATATATCCAAGTGAAATGAGAAATAAAAAAAAAATTTTTGTTTTTTATCATTCAAAAACAAATAAGCAATATAACAATAAATATTATATTCCAAAGAAAAACAGGTAAATAACTGGATTTACATTGGATGACAACAATCAAACAAAACAAAAACAGAACGGAAAAATTGCTGTAAATAGTTGAAACAAGAATCAAACAACAACAACAACAGTAATCCTGTGATAAAAATAAATTAATGCAGTTATCAAGTATTCTGGCACGGTAGAATTTTTTTTTTTTTTGTTGCTAATGTCAAAAAACAATGATGATGGACACAGAGATTTTCAATATGTGAAAAAAAACCGATCAAATTCAATCAATAAATTTATAGGATAGATGGAGGGAAAGAAAAACGACGACGATAACGACAACAACGACAACAAAAAAAAAACAAATCAACCACATTCAAATATAAATATACAAAAGAGAAGTGTGCCCATGCACACACCAAACAAATTCATCGATGGGTATGGAACCCCTCTCACAATATAGCAATAATAATAAACACACATTGTAAACTATAAAATTAATCAATCGATAATTTTTATTTTTTGGCAAATTTAAAAAAAAATGGGGGTTCACATCCAATAGGACATTTAAAAAAAAATGTGAAATGTGAATACGAAACAAAACAAAACGAAACGAAAAAAAAGTGAACATTTCCACCATATTCGTACTGATTACTGAATTTCATTATAGTGAAAAAAAAATGATTTTTATACAATGCAAACCTTGAAGTTAGTCTATATTGGAATAAAAGTTCAGTTATGCATACACATGATGATGATGATGATGAAGAAAATTAGAAAAAAAAATTTTTTTTTTTGTTTGTTTTTTTTCATTTTGTCAAATAAAATTAACAGACAAGTCTTCATTATTCACATCTGGTTGTTCATTTGAATATGAATATCGTTCATTCATGAATGAATGAATGATTCATATATTATCGATTTATTGATTTGTATAAAAAATAAACCAAATATATATACACATGATACATATTATATATGATTATTATTATTATTATCGAAAATGATGATGACAATGATTTCCAGTGCCATTTTTTTCCAGTGCGATTTGATCAATTTTTTTTCTTTATTGCGAAATGTGGAAAAAAATTTTTTTTTCGCCCCAGATAAACCATAATAACCGGGTAAATATGTGATTTTTATGGAAAACTTGAATTTATCAACAAAAAAAAAATTCCCATTAAATCAATGAATGAAGATCATTGCAAGAGAAAAAAAAATGCAAAAATATGAAAAAAACAACAACAACAAAAAAAACAGTTTGAAAATTTGTTCTGTTTACTTTTTTTTCATTCTTAATTATTAACGGGAATTTGACGTTATTTTTTTTTTTTTATTAATTTTATTCCACTTCATCATTATTTCCAAATGAAAACACATTAATCACGTACGAATATGATGATGTGTTGTTGATGATCATTGATGATCAGTTGTTCAGATCAATGAAATGTTGAAATGATACATTGTATCAGTGGTTGAATGAATATTTTATTTTCATTAGCCACACATTCATTAATATATTTTGACATGACTAGTAGCAATTCATTTATTCAGCAACATTTTAATGATAATAAAATGAATTGAATCAAAAAAATAAAAAAAAATGGTTATCTTTTCAAAGAAATCAGAAAGGGTTCTTTTTCTCAAGTATTTTGATTTTTCCGCTCAACTATCGATAATGATTACGAACGATGATGACGAGGGAAGTTTTTTTTTTGGGTGTCCAACCTCACACATACACACACACACAATCGATTGATGATACTGATGACAACCGATGATGATGATGATGATGATGATGTCTCTTTACGATTTTATGTACCGTTATGATTTTAGTTTTTTTCTTTTCATTCTTAATAAACTTTTAATAATAATAATAATTAACAAGAAAAAAAAATCAGTTTGACCATCTTGTGATGCCATCACCATGAATTTGTCATTAAGATTAAAATGATCATATAAAGATAATGATGATGGCCATTATTTGGCGATAAATATGTATGAAATATGTAACGAAAATCACCATCAAGAAAAAATAAAACCAGCAAAAAAAAAACAAAAAAGATTCGAATTTTTCCCATTCATATGATGATGATGATGATGATTGGAAATCCAGGAAAGAAAATGACGAATTTTATGTTTGAAAATTTTTCTCTCTTTTTTTTCAAACCAAAAATAAATACCAAGAAAGCAAATAAAAAAAATCATTTGTAATAAATTAACTGGAATTGATGATGAAACGTTGGAATTTAAATTCATTTATTATTATTATTATACAAATAATCACACACCAACATGGATATAAAGTGACAGTCGAAAAATACACACACACACACACACACATGCTCATAAAACAATAAACATTGTGAAGAAGAAGAAGAGAGAAGTGAAGAAAAAGATTTGAAATTAGCAAAAAAAAAAAAGAAGACTTACAACATTAAAGAATTGATGATGATTGGAAAATAAAAACCACCACAAACTAAACAAAAAGAAGAAAAAAAAATTTCGGCTTTATTCACGGTAACATGATTGAATGGTGATGATGAATTTGACTAGCCAGCCAGCTAGCTAGCTAGCTAGCCATCCAGCATTATCATAATCAACATTGTTGTCATTGTCGATATCGTCTTCATCGTCGTCGTCGTCGTCGTCATTATCAATTGGTTTCGTCATCAT